CGTCGTTGCTGGCAGCCAGATCATCTCCAGCAACGAGCAGCCGGATTACGCCACATCAACATCCATTATATATTCAAGCATCCATGTTATTTGTTTAGAATGTAAAATATAAAAGGGAGTGGAAGAGGCTACATGAGACTGTGCCTATAAATGTGCAACTGTCATGGTTGCAATAGATGGTGAGAAAAGACTCTTCGAGGTTTGAGGGGATACCTATGGTTAATGGTTGGTTCTGTGGATTATTTTCTTCACTGATTCTATCTGCTATCACTTGCATTGGTTGAACATGTGGTGTGCTTTTTACCTATAACATTTAAACTATTTCAAATTAATTTATCTTATGAATATTCCTATTTAATCAGTTTGACACATATCATCATTTTTTAATGCATCATGACTTTGTCAAAAAGAGCTTCTTCACTTGGTAGAATATTTTTTACATCGCTATACATTTCACCTAACAATTGACTTGGAAAAATACATTTGCTTGCTAGCATTGCTTCCCGTATGTTGGACTGTAAAAGCTATGCTACTTAATCATGATGGTGAAACACTGATCAATTGTATTGAAAAATTATTTCAAGACATTGAGGAACCAAGCGTAAAAGATTGCATGTAAATAGTAACGGATATGAGATTCATAAAAAGACACCCGTTGTACGTCAAGGCACATATTATATTCACTAACGATTTGCATTTATCGACGAATGTGGATGACCTTCTGTGATAGATCAACTTACTCTGCTAGAATTGCATGGTTGGAAGCTGCTATACGCAACTACTTTGATAATGAGCTTATATGATTGTAATAGTGTCAATGTGTGCTCTTGTTTTATTTTGGAATTTGAAACAATGGTGTGAACAATATGTTTCATTAATAGTTAATGGCATTTTAAACTGATTTGTAGTTTAATATCACGCAATACGATGCCAATTTTCTCATATATTTGATTTACAGATGTTAACAGTAGAGGCTAGGAATGCGTTGGTTAAAATCCTACTCTAGCTATGGCTATTAAAAGTCAAACTTTTACAAATTAAATGTCCTCGCCCAGACAATGAATTTTCACTTAGTGGACATCAGTATACTATGGAGCTACTTGAGGGTCGAGATGAGCAGACGCATGAGATTTTTTGAATGAAAGTAGGCATATTTAGGCGGTTGTATTGCCATTTTCGAGTAATGGATTGGGTACACGATACCAATAACATTACGGTTAAAGAGAATATAGCTACGTTTCTTTCATGTATTTGTCAAAGTTAATGGTTTTCTATAATAAAACGTCGTTTTCAGCATTCCAAGGATATTGTGCATCGCGTATTCAATGAGGTATTGGATGCTAGGATGGCTTTTGCAAGTGAAATGATTGTACCAACTTGGGATCGTCCAAGCCCAAGTAACATTGGTTACCATCGAAGGATTTTACAAATATTTTAGGTACAAATTTTTAACAATAATTATGTATTTTAAACATGATTCAATTCATTTATTAACAGTATCATAATTTTGTATAAGGGTGTTGTCGGTGCATTGGATGGTACACTTATACCCGCAATCGTCACACCAGATGAGTCAATGCCTTATAGAACTAGAGGCGGGAAGCAATATTACCAGAATGTTCTAGTTATTTGTGACTTTAATATGATATTTACAAATGTTGTGGCTGGTTGGGAGGGGGTTGCGCATCATGCAAGGATTTTAAGGACCGTAGGTACTGAGCCCGACCACCACTTTCCGTTCCCGCCTCCGGATAAGCATTAAATTCAAGTCTTTTGAGGGTAGAACACTTTTAAATCTTTCCCACAAGCTAACCTTGACAATAGTGTTACACTTGTTGTAGATAAGTACTACTTGTGTAATCAGGCATTTCCACACACACGTTATTTCATGGCTCCATACCGCAGACAAAGATATTTGATATCAGATTTTCRTCATAGACGACCAAGAACTAGGGAGGAAAGGTTTAACCAAGCCTATGCGAAATTACGAAATGTAATTGGATGGGCTTTTGGGGTCTTGATAGCACGATTTCAAATTTTGAAGTTAATGGCACCGTTCCCCTTTTTAGTTCAACGAGATGTGGTTATTTCATGTTTTTGCCCTCCACAACTATTTAAGGAGTGAAAGTATCAGGGATGAATTGTTCACAGAATATAAAAGGTGGTAGTGCTAGAGGGGACGGGGATGAAATCAACTGATGAAGAAGATGATTACGATCCCAACGTTGATATTAGTTCACCTAAGGATCATGAATTCATGTTTCAATTACGTGATCATATTGCTCATCATATGATGCAATAGATGTGATATGGTGCATTAATATTATATAGCATTATGTCACATTATGGATATTGAGATTGAGTATTGATAAAACTTTGATTACTTGTACTGATTATCTTGAATTGTTTAATATTTAGGCCATAATATTTGCCATACTATACATTGTTCTATTCTTGATAGAATTAATAATTAATTAGCAATTATAACAATATTATACAATTACAAAATAATTATATAGCATTGTACAATTACTAATAATATCATATAGTATTATACAATTATTAGTAATGTAAAAGTTTATAATTAATTAATTATTAATCATAATTAATAATAATATTACTTAAATTGGTATAACCAATTAATAAATAACCATAACTCATTACTAATTAATTAATATTTAATTATTAATCATTAAATCAATAATTAATTAATATTTAGTAATAATTATTTAACATTTAACTATTAAATAATAATTAATAATTCATCATTCGTAACATTAAGATTAATTAATAATATTAAAATATTAATTAATAATCATTAATAATAATAAAGTTATATTAAAAAAATAATCATATTATAACCAAGTAATAAAAAATAATAATTCATTACTTAAATAAAAACAACAATACTAATAACTAATTCATAATAATATTAAAATTAATTAATACAAATATTAGTAATCTATATTCAATAATAAATAATTAAGAATAATAATATTAATTAATTAATTCAAAATAAATCCAAAAGTAATAATTAATTTTTAATCAATGTTATTAATATTATTAACAATTAATAATACTATTATACAGTTATTAACAATACTAATAATTAGTAAATCATAATTATTAATAATGAACAACAATTACTAGTAATATTACTTAATATTAGTTATTTTGAATATAAATTAATAATAATCAATTATTCATTAATCATAATTATTTGATTATAATTAGAATAGTTAATTAATAAAAATAATTAAGTAATGAATTAATAAATAACATTAATATTATTAATTAATTAACAATGAATTAATAATTAATACTTAACATTGATTAATTAGTATTAATCATTAATGAATAATGAATTATTAAGTAATACCTAATAATTAATTAATCATAATATTAACATTCGTTAATAGTAATATGAATAATACAAATCGTTGATCTTAATTACTAATACTATTAATAATATTAATTATTAAGTAATTAATAATTAATCATAATTAATATTAGTAATCAATAACGATGATGATGATAACAATAATAATAATATATTATTATTATTAATGAATTGATATTAATATTGTCTTACTAAATAATATTATTAATAAGCGTAATAAAAATATTAATATCAATTCATTAATGACTAATTAGTACTTAATATTATTAATAATTAATAATCAATAATAATATTATATAGTATTATACAGTTTTTATTAACATTAATAATCAGTAATGTGTAAATTAACAATAATTGAAATTAGTTAATAATAAAATTACTGAATATGAATAATTTTAGTAAATAATTAACAATATTAGTCATTAATAATAGTAAATTAATAAATAATAATAATTAGAAAAATTAAATAATTAAGTAATAACAATGAATTAATAATTAATAACAAATTGAATATGAATTAATCATAATTAGTAATAAATAATAATTATTAAATATTAACTAGTAATAATAATAATAATTAATAGTTATTAATAGTAATTATTAATTATTAATTCGTAATTATTAATAGTTAGCAATATTAATAATTGTTAATTACGAACAATAGTAATGATATTGAATTAATAAGAATAATTATTATTAATTATTATTGAATTATTAATTAGTAATAATTGGTGATAATAATTATAATTAATAATAATTCGTATTATTAACTAATAGTAATTTAAAATACTAATAAATAGAAATAATAATAATTATAATTAATGAATGGTAATTGTTAATAATATTAATTATTAATTAAGAGTAATTATGAATATTAATAATTATTAGTATTTTTAATTATTATTAATTAATAATAATAATAATTATTATTAAATTAATAATAATTATTATTATCACTAATTATTAATTATTATTAATAATAGTAATAAGTAATAGTAATTATTAATTGTTAATAATAATTATTAATTAATAATAATAATAATTAATTAATAATAATAATTATTAATTAATAATAAAAATTATTAATTATTAATAATTAGTAATGTTAATGATTTAATATTAATAAGAGTTAATTATTAATGAGTTACAAAAATTTATTAATGACTTATTAATTAATAATTAATAGTTAATATTTTTTAATTAATTATTAACTAATATGTTAATTAATAATTAATTATATTTATTAGCAATAATTATGAATAATTATTAATCATTATACTATTTTTTAATATTATTTTTATAAATTATATAAACAAATTTCAGATATATGGTTAAAATAGACATTTGACAATTTGTAGAATTAAGAATTAAGAATTAAGAATTCACAACAACGTTCTCTACATTTAGAGTTTAGAGAAAAAAAATGTAGCAAACGGACAAACTCTTGAAATACGAAAAAATTAGGGCGAGTTTTACTTAAATAATATCTCTAAAATTATAAAAAATTATTAAACCACGTGTCAATTTTCATACTCTGATGTCGACGTCGACAAAAGTCTCTCTCTCTCTCTCTTAAAGAAAAACAGACAGGAGACGCACCCAACCGACCGAAACGAAAGAAAGCAAGCTGAAAGAACGCTAAAATCTTTAACCTTTTCTTCCCGCTTTCTCCCTCTTTCGTATCTTCAGGGAGATTTGCTTCTTCCATCTTTGTTTCAGTGCTCCTTTTCTTGGGGTTTATGTGTGTTCTCGAAGCCCCACGTGGGTCTTGTATGGCGTCTCTTCTTGGAGTTCCCATGGACGGCGAAGCCCTGGATTCTGACGGTGAAGCAGAACAAATCGATGAAGGGTTTACTTGCTGTATCTGCTTGTGAGTTTCTTTTTCCTTCAAGAGCTCTGTCTCAATCCAGTTATTCTTTTCGTCCACAAAAGCTCATTATAGATTTTTTTTTTATCTTGTGTAAATAAGAAAAGAAGGAATGGAAATGCATTTGGGGTGATTCTAATTTTTTGATATATATTCGTATAAGATGAAGTAAATTGGTTTCTTGCTTGTTTCTTGTTCAGCTTGAATTTTGAGCGGGAGTTCATAGTTAGGGATTAATTAATTCTACTTATCTCAGCCTTCTAATATGTTCTCTTATTTTGTTGATTTGCAACTCAATTTGGAAAATAACTTGAATTTCCAGGAATGGAAATGAGTGGTCTTTGATTTCTGGACATCATGCATGAGGGGCTAGAGCTCTGGTGCCTAGGCTGAACATTTCATTCAGATGCATTTGTGACAGGCTACTCTGTAGCAGACATTCTAGCTAGAGGAGGTATAGGGAGGTGAACGTCTTCCCCTTGCATAATCGAGAGTATAGACAGTCCTGTTTTGGTCTTTTCTTAGTTAATGCTTTGTCAACCTAAACTTTGATTGGGAATTTTCAGAAATAGAAACCCGGGACCAAGTGGAACAAGTAATATAATTTTTTTGTGATCAATAAAAACAAGTAATATAATGAGTATTGAGTTTATTTTCCTTACTCAGGTACTGAGGCCATTATTGTAAATTGGACACCCGGAGGATACCTATAGGGGGATTCTCTCATCTTGTGTTAGGATGAATGAAGGTTGAATCTAGGGGCTCTTGGAGACCATGTTACCATATTAGAAATTCAAGATATATAGTGAACTCCTTGATCCATTGGTTTTTAAATCAGTTAACTTGATTAAGGACAAACTAATGAAATAGGGAGTACCAAGGAATGGGCTATACTTGGGGGTTCCATTGCCAAGGTGAGAGCTAACTTGGAAATGGAAGTAGATCATATTTGGAATTTTCCGAACCAATCTGAATCTGACCCGATTTCTGCCCTACTTGATAGTTGTGTCCAGAAATGGTTCTGGATGAGGCATGGGTAAGAGAACCAGTAGAACCTATATTCTGCCTATCAGAAGTAGCTTGGTATGCCTTGTGAAGTTTCTTCCTTCCTTGAGTAGGTTTGCTTCTACACTCAGTCAAGATGAGCCCTTAACGTTTACTTTAAACACAATAATTTTGTTTCTTACAAAGAGAAGAAGTACGCCCAAATTCTTTGCATTCATGACATTGAACATGAGAAAGGTCATGTGTGCTACCACCTTTTCCTTTTGTTGCATGAGCAACAATGGCCGTGTCATTGTCTTTCTTCCCTTCAAAGATAGTTTGAGTAGTGATATGAGTTTCTTCTCTCAAGAGCTTTCCTAAAATAGAGTCCATATCAGCAATGACCCCTCTATTAAGGATACTAGCACAAATCAACTCATATTCTGGACCTAGTTTCATAAGAAGCTGCATAACCTTCCTTTCATTGTTGATTTTTTGAAACTTTTTATTGAAGGATAATTGGTAAAATATATAATCACTAAATCAGTCCAAAGGGAGAAGAAACCAACTTAGTACTTTTCAATTTTCTTGTCTCATTAGTGTAAATGAAAATATCATGTTCAAGTTGAAACTTTCAGGCACATGGTTTGTTGGTACACCCTTTCTCAGTGCTCTCTCATTGCTTTAGCAATTTAAAATCCTCTAAGTTGACATGTAATGATAGTATCCATCGACCCCAACAGCCAAGAAATGATTTTTTGCATTATCAACCTCCCATTCTTCCAAGTCATATCCAGATTTTTCATCCAATTTGTTTCTTGACCCATCAAAAAGGTACTAAAGTCCTTTCCCCTTGACATAGAATTGAAATTGGAAAGGCCACATGCTGTAGTTGGCTCCATCATACCGGATAAAGATCAAGTCATCCTTATCTAAAGCCATGAACTCAAGCACCAAAAGGAAATACCAAGAATCTTGAACAAGAGAAACCAAATATGATTATTGGAGATCAGAATTCCCTCAAAAAAGGCCTGTAAGACAAAGTTCAAACATCCAAAACACCAGGGAGTTAACAGAGAGGGTAGACAGAATGGTCTCTCCCTTGAGAAAAAAAGACACCCAAAAATACCGTGCTAGTGTTGGAAATATGGTCTGAAAGTGGTTATAGTTGACCAGCAGAATCTGTTTCCTTTGAACACATGATTTGTGAAGCTCCTACTTTACATAAAAATAGTAGAAAAGTGTAGAAAATCTATTTTGATATAAAATCTGTGTAAAAGAGAAGGTTTTTGTAGAGAAGAAAAGAGGAGAGAAATTGAAGAGAATGGGAGAAGTCAAAATTAGGTCTGGCCACCCCTTTTATTAGCTTATATGCTCACAAATAAAAGCTGAATACAAAGACAAATATGCCCTTAGTAAGTCGGTTACTTGTAAAAACTAAGTAAACACTCTTAACTTAAACATAAACTAATGGGCCTTGGGCCCAATAACTCTCTAACTATGCTATGCAAATAAAAACAAATGATATCAGCCCAAAATTCAACACTCCCCCTCAAGTTAGGAATAGATGTCACACATTCCCAACTTGCGTAGATCATGCTCCAACTTGTTTTTTGCAACACCTTTTGTAAGAACATCAGCAAGCTGCAAGTCAGATGCAACATTGGTAAGCACATATCTCTGGATGCCACCCTTTCCCTTATAAAGTGTCTACCCACTTCCATATGCTTTGCCCTATTATGCTGAACTGGGTTGTGGGCAATGTCAATTGCTGCTTGATTGTCACAATATAACATCATAGGTTCTTCGGTCTCAATTCTAATACCCCCTAACAAGGGATAGACCTAGAGGAGCTTTGAGACACCATGTGCCATGGCTCTATATTCAACTTTTGCACTTGACCTTGTCCAATTTAGGCACCCTGCCCAATCAACATTTGTGTAAGCCTCTAACTTCAAATGTCCATGGTCAGCAAGCATCATGTCTCTACCTGGGTGTCCCTTCAAATAGGAAAGTATCTTGTCAATGGCCTCCGAATGTTGAACGCGTGGGGCATGCATATATTTACTCACCACACTTACTACATAAGAGATGTCTAGCTGTGTCATACATAAGTATAGCAACTGGCCCACTAATCTCTGATGCCTTCCAACATCCTTCACTAGCTCACCTTTTGAAGCATTTATCTTGTGGTTTTGATCAATGGGTGTATCAGCTGCCCTTGCGTCAAGTTTTCTTGTCTCCTGTAGTAAGTCCAAAACATACTTTCTTTGAGAGATGAAGATCTCATGCTTGGACCTTGCCACCTCAAATGCCCATAAAGTACTTCAGCTCCCCAAGATCCTTAATTTCAAACTCTTTGTGCAGGTTCTTCTTCAAGGTATCAATTTCACTTAGATCATTTCCTATGACTACAATGTCATCCACATACACTATCAAAAATGACACCAATGATTCCCTCCTTTTCACAAATATAGTATGATTAGATTGGGTTTGAGTATAGCCAAATACAACCAATGCACTTATAAACCTGTCAAACCAAGCTCTGGGTGATTACTTCAAACCATATAGAGACTTCTTTAATCTACATACATTTCCTTTAGCCACATCATTGTAACACTAGCTGGAAGATCCATGTACACCTCCTCTTGCAACCCATTAAGAAAAGCATTATTTACATCAAGTCGAAAGAGGGGCCAAGAGTATATAGCTGTTAGTGATAGAAGAATTTGGACTTAACTCATCTTTGCCACTGGTGCAAAAGTCAACAAGTAATCTATGCCATAAGTCTGAGTGTACCCTTTTGCAACTAGCCTCGCCTTGTATCTCTCTATACTTTCGTTAGCCTTGTACTTCACTGTTTAAACCCATCTGCATCCAATTATTTCCTTGCTATCAGGTAGATCCACAATCTCCCATGTTTGATTTTTATTTTTATTTTTGATAACTATTCTCTTGTCTAGTTTTTAATCAATGTTTTAATTTCCTCCTGCATAGCTGTCTTCCACTCAGGTTTGGAGAGAGCCTCACTAACACTCTTGCGTATACCAGTATAAACACATAGTCGAGAGAAGAAAGGAAGGAGATAATCCACTGTAGGAAAGATAGTGTGAGATGCAATGAGTAGTACACTTCCTCTTCCCTTTTCGGAGTGCAATAGGGAGATCTAGGTCATCTACAATGGTGTTAAGAGCATGGGTAGTGGTATCAATAGGAAATAAAACATCAGAGGAAACAAAGGGCATATCTGGATCTGTGTCAGTTGAACCTGGAATCTTCGATTAGCTGATAGGGAGTGACGTGGGTTCCTCTATTGTGGAATCAACCTCCCTGTGCTGTTGTAGGCACTGTCTTGTAAAACACTAAGAGGTAGGACTTAATGGAGGTGGTAAAGTGGGTGGAGTAGGTGGGTTAGACACTGGAGTGGACAAAGGAGCTGGAATAGGAAGTGGTATAGATTGTTCACTTCCTTCCACAAAACACTCCCCCTGAGAAGAATCCCCCGAGAAAAAAGGTGTGGACTCAAAAAGGTGATATCCATAGTAACATACCGACTCCCGGAGACTGGACCATTAGCCTTTGCATCTCTTCCAAGAAGCCCCACTCCACATGATTGTACGCCTTCTCTATGAGTGGATTTCAAATGCAGTTAGGTGCTATAGAAATTGGAAAAATCTTCAGTTCAAGTGTCGAAAATTTTCACAAGGTTGAAGGGGGGGGATTGTTTATGCTTTTGTGGTTGGGCCTAACAAGAAGGTAAAGAAAGAAAGTAAAGAAGGCTAACAAGAGAAGAGTATGGGACCACTCTCTCAATGGTGGTGGTGTAGAATTGTCAAGGTTGTTTCTTGGATGGTATTAGACTATAGTAGGGGATCACTCTCTCAATGGTGGTGGTGTAGAATAATCAAGGTTGTTTCTTGGATGGTATTAGACTATCAGTTGGAGATCAGTGCTTTTGTTTGATCTTTTTTTTTGTTTTTTTTTTGGAGAGTAAATGAAAATTCATTAATAAAAAAAGT